CTGATGAAGTATAAGGGGTGGGGGTGGGTGGGTGGGGGTGGTTATTAGTTTCATTGTTTTGCTTGAAAGAGCCATCAAGGGTAGCTGTAATTTTCCTGCTTTGAACAGTACTTGTGTGTTGAACACACAACAGTTTGTTGCTTCAGCTGAATAAAGTGTATACTTTCAGCTACTGATGAATGAAATGGGTGCTTGACTATCTGTTCTAAAATATTCTCTTTCTTTTCAGTTACTTGCATGCCAAGTCAATCATCCACAGAGACCTCAAGAGTAATAGTATCCTTTCCCAAAGATGTAAATTTGGAACATGAAAATAAGTCCCCTTTATTCTGCCAGAAATGAATGAACGTGAAGATCAGCTCACCTGCAGAAATGTTAAAGGAGAGTCAGCATTGGCTGGCAATGGGTAACAATGTGAGAAGCAAAATAAAAAATATTCTTTGTGCCTTTTAACATGATTGTAAAGAGAAAACAAGTTTTGTAGAAGTATCCCAGTGAATTTCAGATACCCCCACCAGATACCGCATGGAAGGGTCGTGCCAACTCGTCTATAGACTTGCAGAGATATGCAGCTCTTTAAGGACTTGACATTTTTAATATAATCATTTGGGGCCTAGTTTATTAACACTATCATTACTGCAAGCTAAAATATAGCACTTCTCAGACACTGGTTGTTTGGAATCTAGATATATATGAGAGTTGACTACTTAGTTTTTTATACTGTTCATGGATGGTGCCAATTGATAACAACTAGCATTGCAGGTATATAGAGTTATTTAATATATATGTGCTTGTAGGGAACATTAGGAACTATGCTTTTTTACCTTAACTTCTCTATAGATATATTTCTTCATGAAGACCTCACAGTAAAAATAGGTGATTTTGGTCTAGCCACAGTGAAATCACGATGGAGTGGGTCCCATCAATTTGAACAGTTGTCTGGATCTATTCTCTGGATGGTAAGTAAAGGGTGGTATGTAGGTATTGTTTTTAGAATACTTGAGTCCCAATTTTTTTTCTTTAACCAGAAGTCTCAAAACATCTCTCAAGCAGACAGACCATACAAACCTAACATCAGCTGACAAGGTTATATTATAATACTAAACACTAAATTAATACTTTACTCTGTTCTTTAAATGTGTCTTTAAGACATCAGTGAAATCTGAAATATTCTCTCACATTTGTTTAAAAATAATAGGCTTCTCAATCTGATTTATTCAAGTGTAGCTACTCTGAAGAGGCTGCGAGATATTTGAATCAAATTCTCTCTTCAGAAGAAATGTTTTGATGGTCATATGTTTAGCCCAACTTCTTCCTTTCTTACTACCTTAAGATTTTGATAGGTGTGATGGTTCTTTAGCACTATTGTAATTTTACTTTCCAAAATGGCTTCTCAATCTGTAATGGGGTCAGTTTCCATCATATAGTACAGTCATGACCTCACCCACTTAGAGAGCCAGCAGATTTTGAAATTTATCCATCATGTGTTAATATTTTAGGTTGAATTGCATATGTAACCAACAGTAGACCAGGAAACCTTTATGTTTGGACACCAAGGGAACCTAAAATTGAACGAACAGCTGTGCATGGCACCCTTTTGCTGCACTTTATAGTTTTAAAAGCAAAATTTTACATTTGTTTTGTGAAATGGCATTTTAATACTGTGAAGTGAATACTAACTCTGTCCTTTATGGTACAGGCACCAGAAGTAATTAGGATGCAAGATAAAAACCCATATAGCTTTCAGTCGGATGTATATGCATTTGGGATTGTTCTTTATGAACTGATGACTGGGCAGTTACCGTACTCGAACATCAACAACAGGGACCAGGTAAAGAGAGCTTGAATTTGGGGAGGTTTTCATTGCACTTTCTCACTTGTTTGTTGTAGGCTAACTGAAACATAGAATTAATAGAGGCTTGTGAAATGAGCCTTCACGTCCTTTTTCAGATGTCCCTTCTCATCTTTATACACCCTCTTCAGCCATGTAGCGTCAATCTGTCTACTACTTCTGATCATTTTTCCCCCTCCTACTGCAGGTATGGGTTTTCTGATTCTGAAAAATGTGTGTCAGGAAACTGGTTAACGAGGGAACTGGTTACTTATGGTAACCTAGTTTAATTCTGAAAAAGGGAATAACAGGCATAAGAAATAGTCCAAGAGAAGAACTGAGGAGGTGGCAATGTGGCCATGACATTTCATATCTGATATTCATTTTGTGCTTGAGAAGTGTATGCACCAATTCACTGAGATTCAGGATTTTAACATGGTCCATGTAATAATGTTAAGTAGACTTACCTGTTTCTTAACTTCCTAGCACAATTTGAAGATGGGATATTTGTGTCAAGGTCTTTAGCGAAAACTATCCAGGATCTGAGAGAGACTATTTGTAACATGTTCGTGTTTGTGTCCCTGTACTTTCAGTATCTACACTTGACAAATGCAGTCATAACAATGTTAGTCTGAAAACATAATGTAATATGGCTGTTTCAGTATACATCAGGACACTTCATCAACTCAAAGTGACTTGCTTGTATTTGTATTTCTGTGTCTTCTGTGTGTCTGAAGGAGGGAAACTGCCCATGTTCCCAGTCAGCTGGTTGTAACCAGTTACCAGCTGTACTTAGGCCTATTTCACATAAACCATTTGAGAGCTTCATGAATCCTTTGTGTCTGGTGGCAGGGTGACATGAGTGTTGGAACAAATTTTAAGCCACAGATGCAGCTGACATGTAAAATACAGTGAAATGCACTAGCTTTATTTACCTCTCCCCATTGACTGGAAGGGATATATAAACCTATCTCTCTCTTGACATATTTAGGTCACAGTGAAAACATGCTGCTAGCATGTTCTAGCTGAGACAGAAAATGTCCAGTCCAAGTTTTACAATGAACATCCTCACTTGTTCTGGGATGTAGTTGCACCTCAGTGTTCTTCTGCACTCCAGTCACTTTTATAGATTATTCAGGCCTGTCCTGTAGAAATCCTCCTCTGCTATTAATGTCGTTTAAGCCTTTCATCTCAAAGAAAAAACGTTCTCCTTGATGCTGAAAAGTCTGTTGTCTTGCAGCAGAAACAGAATAGGCAAGTCTTCATATTGTACACAGCTGGTACTTAAGGGTTTCAAAAGGTGTTGTGGAGGAGCTTTGGGTTGCCTCCTAATAGGAGTGCAAAAGTGATTGGATTGAATGCAAAATTAGAAACAATTTTCTGGGTAGCTTTTTTGATATAAATTCTTTGCCTTGGAAACAAGACATGAAATAGTTACATTTCTTAAAATATAAGGAACAGTGTAAGTGCTGTATGAATAGATGTATGTTACAGCATCACTTCTTGGCCATTTATTCTAGCTCAGGTCAATTCAATAGAGGAGTGAGCTCGCTCTCTTTGTTAATCTGGGCATGCACCGCATTTGAGCTTGGACACTTCACTTGGCAACAGAATGTGGACCAGTTTGTGCCTTGTTGGGCTATCAAGGGGTCACTCTACAAGGTAGAAGATGGACAGCTAGTCCTAAATGTGTAATTCCATGAGGGGCATTGGGTAGTGGGGAGGAGGTTAATATCTGGTGTTGCAGTGTTTTTGTTGCTGACAGGTGTTTCACACTCAGCCCTAAGATGGCCATATAATTTTGTGCTTTCACCTTTTTGTGTTGAAACTTTAAAACAGTTGTTATAATTTAAAAAAAAAGTACCTGATGGCCTTTGTTACTGCTTTGCCTTTAAACAGTCTGGCCATAAAGGTCGTATTGTCCAACACCACCTGCCCCCCTTTTTTGTTGCAGTGACAAGTTTGCTGAGGATCTGGCTTGCTTTGGTAAGATAACAAGCCCCACTTGTAAAATCTCACTTGGCTCTAAAGCCCCTGAGCAAGGCAAGTCTTTAAATCCTGGAGGATGGGGGAAAATCTTTGAAATTTCTCCCTGTGATGCATGCTGGGGGAGCATGGTATTACCTTTTTACAGAAAAGATTGTGTGTTTTTGCTGTGGCAGCCCTGCTCACCTGGCCTAAGGAAGAAACAAATTGCTGCAAGAATGGCTTAACCCACATAGGGGGAGGACAACCATACCCCAGCCCAGGGTGAGGTATGGTACAGAGGAAGTGAGGTTCCCAGTCTACACCCCTGCCTCTGCTGGGGCTACTGGCACTGAGAAGGTGAACTCTCATGCAACCCACCCAATCCATTCAGGAGAAATCCCAATTCCTACTGCTGGTCCTGAACCATAAGAACGTGAAAAACCTGCCCTAGGCAGCCCAAAATCGTCCCAGGACTTTCATAGATTATAAGGCCAGAAAGGACCTTGGAATATCATCGGGTCCAGCCCCCCTGCACCAAGCAGGAAAGACAACTGGGGGTCAGGTGACCCCAGCAAGCTGACTGTCTGGTCTCCTCTTGAAGATTTCCAGGGTAGGTGATTGCATCACCTCTGGAGGGAGCTTATTCCACAGTCTGGACACTCTAATTGTGAAGAAGTTTTTCCTAATGTTGAGCCTGAATCAGTCTTCCAGGAGTTTGTGGCCATTACTCCTAGTTTTCCCTTTGAGTGCCCTGGTGAACAGTTGCTCACTGCACCCTTGATGTACTTCCCTAGTGTAGCAGTCAGCTGCTACCAGGTTCCCTCTCAGCCTTTCTTTCTTCAGGCTGAAGAGTGCTAGATCCCTCAGCCTTTCCTTGTATGGCTTGCCACGTAAGGGGTGTCATTCTCAAGGCTGCACTGTGCTCTGCTTGTCCCCCCCATGCCTCGGTTCCACTTGTTCCCACTCACCCCAGTTCCTGGGCTGCACCATGCCGTGGTACAGGCTGCTGGTGTCAGCTGCTCCCGGGGCCGCTGCAGCAGGGACTGGAGGGAGTAGCAGCAAGCTGAGCCCTGGGTGGTGTGGGACACAGCACAGCTCGTCTGCACTCACCCTAGCCCCTGCTGCAGCGGCCCCAGGAGTGACCAGCGCCCACTGCAACGAGAACTGTTGGTGCGGGGGGAGGGGCAAGGTGCACCTCTTGCTACTCCATGCCCCCTGGGAGGGCTGAGGGGCTGTGTCAGGTTTTTCCTGGGGGTGCATGCCCCTGGATCTGCACGTGGTATGACAGCAGGCTTCCCCTGCAGGCTGGGGCCGGCATCAGCACCAGGCTGATTCTTTCTAGCGCTTGGGGCAGGCATGTTGAATGCTGGGAACAGCCTGGCTTACAAGAGCAAGATTACAACTCGGAGTACAGACCTAAAGATATTACTGAACTTACACACTTCATCCTCACATACAACAACTTCACTTTCAATAACCAACACTTCCTCCAGACCATTGGCACAGCTATGAGCACCATAATGGCCCCACAATATGTCAATGTTTTTATGGGCCACCTGGAAGAAGAATTGCTCAAGAACTGCACCATCAAACCTGTGCTGTACTTAAGATATATAGGTGACATGTTCATCACTTGGACCAAAAACCTGCAGTCTGATTGATACCACCTGAAGAATTGCTGCAGTACAAAAAGAAAATGCCCATGAATTGCACACCATTAGTGTGCATTCCATCTCTCCCTGGAACCTATATAGAAAATCCTCAAACAATTGCAACCCATACTAGAAGAAAACCCAGTTATTAAAGAGATCTTCCCAGAACCACCCATCCTAGCCTTTAAACAACCACCACACCTCACCATCACTAGAAGCAAACTTCTTACAGCCCAAAACACACCAAATGGATCCAGACCATGCCAGGACAAGAAATGTAAAACCTGCCAACACGTCTCCACTACCCCCACAATAAGTACACCCCCCAGCAGAACCATCACTATTCCTGGATCTTACATCTGCACCTCCAGAAATGTATTAAATCTCGTCCAGTGCCCTAAATTCCCTTATGGAAAATTTGTAGGAGAAACCAAACAACTGTGTACCAAAATGAATGCACACTGAAAACCCAATTAACTGTGGGTGCACACTTCTCCTAAGACCACTACTCTCTCTCCAATCTCTGAGTTCTACTCCTGAAAGGGAATTTACAAAACACCTTTTGAGGGTGAGCCTACGAACTTCAAATCATAGATCTACTGGACACAAAAGATCATGGACTAACATAGACGTTAGATGTAATAGATTTCATAGACATTTGGGCTGGAAGGGACCCCAGA